GATACAAGACGAAGTCAAAAATACATTAAGTAAGATAAATACAGACAGAAGCCCAGGTAATGACAAAATCAAGACAGAGTATTTGAAAGTGGATGGAGAATATCTCTATAGAGCGCTTGCCGAAAGATTTACGAAGTACTTAGAAACCACTATCGTCCCAAATACCTGGCTTACATCCGAAACCGTATTTCTGAGGAAGAAAGGCGATCCTGAGGACTTGGCGAATTACCGTCCTATCGCATTGCTATCGCAAGCATATAAACTATTTACTAGAATAGTTCTCAATCGGATCGCAGGACAAATCGAAATGCACAGAGAACAAGCTGGCTTCAAGCCTGGTTACTCCACTAACAACCACATCCACGTACTCAGCCAACCATTGGAGAAGTGTAAAGAGTACCAAGTCCCCCCGTGCTTCGCATTTGTAGACTACCGGAAAGCATTTAATTCAGTAGAGTCTACGACGACAGGTCGCAACCTGAAGTGGTTTCAAATAGCAAAAGTTTTGTAAGTTTGTAAATTTGTTGTAAACAAAAACCTGATAAAATTTTGGTGTAAACTGTCATTGACTTCATCCTTATTTTTCGTTACTTGGCTTTCGTAGCACTTATCAAAATTTATCGCCTGGTTACTTTTCCCTTCATGAAACTTTTACTTCGTGCTTCCTAATGCCACGCGTTTGTGGCAGTAAGAGACTAACCGAAGACAGCAAAAATCAGTCTGTTCGTTGATTTAAATCTGATTCAGTTAACGTTTTTCGAATGGTCAGTTAAATATCTTTTTGAAAGAGATTGCCCCGTCGCGGATGTTAACGTTAACTCGATTGCTATTCTCAATTTGTTTTGGTTTGTGTTTTCATCAGTTATTTGCACGCATTCATACTGCGAATGATTAATACTCAATATTAGTTCTGTGCAATTTAACGTAGCAGTCCTAATGGTTGTCCGTTCACTAGTTAAGTGTTGTATTGGTTCACCAGCCACACTTTTTATTCGTTATGTTAAAATTTTTTCATTCAAGTCAGTTAGTGACCGCATATTCTACAAATATTCAAGATCTTGAACATCATGAAAAAAGAGCTCTAGCGTATTGATGAAGTTTAAATAGTTTGGTGCCGATGTAATTAATTTGTATAGTTTCTCCATTAATAATTTCCTAAAACTGCAAGTTTGGAGTTCGCCATGCAACTGATCATTGTAGTGCATTGTTTGGTTTGTTATCGAATCGAGGATCAGATCTATCTCAGGCTCGATGGCGGTGATAATAAGTGTTTTCGTTTGCTCAACGGTACAACTCAGGTTGGATGCCAATGTAAGTGTCGTTCGATCAGATACCATCATTTGCTCTACTGTAAACCTCATTTCTGTGTGACCCCCTCCCCATCATGATTGCCTCCAAACTAAAATGTTTAGATAAGTTGATTGAATCTCGAGATAGGTGTATGTTTATTATAAGTTATGCTTTTCATATGTATTTGTGTGCATTGAAGGCAAAAATTCCGCCTTTGGGTTATTTCAACACATGCATTACCCTTAATTTTTACTCATGAAGAAGAAACTCATAAAGAAGAAAGATAATTCATCGAATCAAAGTTTCAGCAGAGCCAGATGGTAACACCGGCTTGGTTGTTTATGCCAGCTCGAGTTTAGAAATCGAACAAATGATACTGAAAATGGCTCAGGTGACAGGAATGCAGTACATTGTTGCCGTTGACGTGGAATCGTTGGATAGGTAAAACCTAGTGCATTTTATTTCATGGAATATTAATGAATCTACTCATTCCCTACTTTACTCCACTGGATGTAGATAATGAGACCGTCATATTATTATATCTGATTCAAGGGTGTTCCATAAGGCATTGGCATCATACGTCCTTCACATTTTAACCATTTGCAAAATCTGTAGCTGCCCTGTCTGGCATGTGTAATTTTCTAGCGTGAAACACACTGAAATGAGATCCTCCAACAACGATAACGTTTTCCATCATTCAAAAGAACGATGTTTAAATTAGTTTCATTGTTTGAAATCAGCATAATAAACTCAATGTAGACTTGCTCTAAGCAAGAGCTTGAATTTTGCGTTCATGGATTTCGAAACCTTTGAATTGTGAAGGTTTGCATTGCGATGATGTCATTGCGTTGAAACCTGTTGTACATAAGCGATGCTACGGTGAAGAGTTTTTGATTGATTCGAACTGAGTAAATGAATAATTGTATTTGAATAAGAATGAAACGAAATTAAGAGCAATAATATGACAAAGTTAGCTAAGTCGTGTTCGAAATAATCTGATTTAACCGAATTGAAGTGGAATCATTGGAAAGTTGCAAGACAATCGTATCCGAGGTGTTCTGTTATTGAGTGATTCAAACAGTACGCAGCATTATCATTTTTCCGAGGATTCAGTTTGTCCAAATCAGAAATTCAGTCAGTTTTCTACTTGTTGTGTTTTACAGTTGTGATTTTGACTATTTTCACATGCAATTTCTTCGACTTCATTGACTTTATGAGCACTTTTGCATGTATCGCTTGAAAAGTGGTTGGCTACTGGTATATTGATTGTTAGGTTCTTCTTTGATTTTGATCCAGCGTCTGCTGTAATCTTTCCATTTCATAGGTTTATATAAGGATGAATGCGAATGGAATAAGAAAAACGCCATCGTAGCTGGTGGGTTCCGTTTTCTCGATTGGGATAAACCAATATTTCTTATCGAAAATTCCACAGAAATAAATATCATCAAAAAATGGGTGAGGTGGTTGATTATGTTTTTGCATTCACTTATACGCTTGCTTTGTTGCAGCTACTTAACTCTTTTTTTTACAATTTCAAATGCGAAAAAAATCTCGACGAATCGTTTTATCATATCAAGAGTTCATTCTAAGAGATTCTTCCCCGGTTCCGGTACCCCGAGTACGGATGCGATGCTTTTTTTGCACGTACTTGGCCTGTTCATTATGAAATTGTATCAAATGCTGCGCAATCGATTCGGGTAACCTTGATATGAATCTGAACACGAAAAAATTTTCGAGATCTCTAATTCAAATTTTTATTACTGTCCTATTGTAGTGTTTCGAGGCATTTAACGCAGACCGATCGGATGCATTTTCGCCGTTTTGCGCAGCACGGATGAAATTCTTCATGCGTGCAGCTGGTAATGCACCAATCTGTTTAAGACGCCAAAATTATTTTTACGGATTTGCTGATGCTGTGTATGTTATGCTTGATAATTTGAAGTCATTCGTTTATCTTTCTTGTTTTTGAATATTGCTCACATTTCGATACTTACATCCATTTTATTCTATCATTTCCACCACTTTTCATTGGAACGTCAACTTTCGAAAATTCCCGATCTTTCAGTTGAGCTAAATCATTCTGAACCAGTTTCATCCGATTTCATTCAAGATAAATGCAACTCTTGAAGTGTAATGCAATAAGAATGTTAGATCGAAAATAATCATCGCTGATGTTTCTCGCTGCTTTATCACTTTAACGTCATAATTTTTTACAGTGTAGAATTATGCGATCCGCTTGAAGATTCGAATGTTATTTCCATGATACCACCTTCGTCGCAAACGAATATGCGAAAGGATACCAAAATTTTCGTCGTTGCTGCTCGGGTTCGTTCTCTGATCTGTTAATCAAATCTTTCATCCGTAATATCTTCTTTTCACTTTATATGATTGCAAGATGAACTGGAATCGGTTGCATTTTGAAGAGTAATCAATGAGAGTCAGATCTTATTCATTTATTACAAATAGTCTCGCAATTATCAAATTTCAAATGGCAGTTTGTTTTTGGTAGCGAAGCGCTGATCAAATGAATTATTCGATTCAGATGGATTCGTTCAGTACAATGACGGATGCATCAGTAGGGGATGTGTCCACTTTAACTTCACTGATCAGTACATTAGCTGTAGTTGATGCTGTTGGTAGAAATTTCGATGACTTCCAATCCGTTGCCATCAAGAACAATCGATGTCTTATGTTTGCATATTTCCATGGGGTTAGTTTTTTTACAAGTCACACTCAGTTCTCAAATTAAACCAAGTCGTTATAATTTATTGTTCAACAATCTAACATTTATCATACTGAGATTATTCAAATATGAGTAATAAAAGTGTTGAAAGCTGTCATTGCCCATATACCTAATTTATTGAAGCGTTTGAATTGAACTTGATTCCAACCGTCCACTCATTTAGACGTTCATTCGGTTAGAATGTTGGTTATAAGCGTATTTTAAGGAATCGATGGGTTATATCGGAAGTAGTCGTGCAGTTTACGATATACTCCAAGGAAGTTTTCCGGCGAAATCGGATTTGCATTTCGGCGATCAGCCTCTTGCTATTGTGAATATCAGTAATATTGATGCCTTTATCGAGGTAGTTCATCTTCTCTGAATTTTTTGATGATTAACAATGTGATAGGTTCAATATCTCTTCATTAAAAAGATTGCTTCGTGAATTTTTTGTTGATATTGTAATTATCTTGTGAAGAAATTTTTATAGTTTCGAAGATTTCCTTGAAACTATTTCGTTTGATGACATATTCTCACATTACCAAATTTACATGTATCTTTGATGGTTAAGATATGTTTTACTTGAACACATCAGTCGAATATGATTCTCATTTCATTGCTTGATTTCGTGAAATCCGATTGTAAATCGCTGATGAACTGCTGTTGTAGATTCAAAGGAAGATCGATTCTTTTGAAGAAAATCTGAGAATAAAAAAGTGATAGATTTTATTATTAAACTTATCAGTTTCAATGTTGTCGATTTGATAAGTGAAAGTTTGTTCCATTCAGGTGCAACAGTTAGATGGTGCAGGTTCAGCATTTTTTGCACACGTCGATGGAAAATCGTATACGAAGCACAGACGTGATCTTGTAAGTAAATTGCAATTTTATGTATTTAGTCGTTCAATTCAAAATGGATATCGCTTTTATTGTGTTTCTGTCATTTGTTGCTTTATGAAATATGACGGAAAGAGATGGATCGGACTGAGTGCTGTTCTATTCAGTGCATTGTGATGCGAAGCGAGTATGTCTGTCAGTAGTTTTCTCATATGTTTCAGTTGCTTCAGCGACATCTTCGTTAGAAAATGAGCGAATTCATGTAATACCATGTTTCTCGTTCTATATCGATGTTAATTATAAGAAAATAAATTTGATAATAGCATCATTAATGTTATTGTTGAGCGATAAATTTGAATGAAAGTCGAATCGAATGAAAATAATTTGTTTCTGGATGATTATCTGAAGTGTGACTGGTATTCATGCTTGTATTGGGGTGATAGTTGTTTTCAAATTTCCGAAGACCTAAGTTTTCGTCTTTAAAAAATAATGCCGTTTGATCTAGCAACAACTGTTGTGAAATTTCGCTTCAAAAAATTGGTTTGAGAAATAGCTGGGTCAATTTTTTGTTTTGTGTATATATAAAGTGGTTTGTATTGGGTTGCTAAGGTTGATGACTTACTGAGTGCAGCAGATGAGGCGTTGCGCAAATGGAACAATCGTTCGATTTCATTGGTTGATCCAACTGAAAATGCTCGTTTACCACCGTCTTCATACGAAACGTTCCTCAAACAGAACCGATCCATTGCCGGATTTGTTTTTGCTCCTTTTGATAGTCAGTATTCATACAAGTATGTTTACATTTCTTCGATCAATCTTCGCATTATCTCCTTCCATAAATCTTATTTTATTGCAGTTTAACGAAACAATATAAAGGTTACTTTTTGCTTGAGGAAAACATTGTTTCTAGTGGCAATAATTGGATTTTCATTCAAAATGCCTATGAAGAGCACATAGACTGCCTAAAATCTGAAACATGAGTTATCAAACGGAAGCAAACAAAATAAATGTTCAATGAGTAGATTGAATAACACATCAAATCAGTTCATAGCGATATTCGCTGCCGTCTGTGCAGTTAGATGGAATAGATTTCGATTTATTTACGGTTGATCCGTTTAAATCAATTGTAAGTAGACTCTAAGCGAATGATGCAAGAGCTGGAATCACTCGTGAACGTTAGTTGTACATTGATTTCAGTGCAATTAATTCATTCACCGATCGAGATATTTTCATTGGAAGAAGTGAGCAAATTCTCGATGAGATTAGCGCCTCGGCAAGTGCTGTACTCGCAACAGTAGTAAAATACTTGTTTGGGTCAGCAACGCCAACATTCACTTCGACAATTGATGAAAGTTTTGTGCGTTGTTTCATTAAATTTCAAAAACATTTTGTTGCTCTACCTGATGTTATTATAATTGAATATGCGAAAGTGAATTTCCAAGAATGTCCCAACAAGTCGTTTAATTTAGTCTCCGAATTCGCTTAGGTTTCGTTACGTTGTTCTTAAATCGAATTTTACACATTATGAACCGTGAACCATAACAGTCGGTAATCAATCGTTTCGTTTGTTGATGTGTCCAGTTGTTTTGGATGCCAGAATTCCGAGCAGCAGTTGGCCATGGATTTATTGTATTTTTTACAAATGTTTGTATTTTGAAGGTATCAACTTTATTTGATTGCTTCATCGTGAAGTCAGATTGGTATAAGTGTGAATTGTTCTCCACGATTCTTCATAATATCAGGAATCGTCCGGAAGAAGGAAGTCAGTTAATTGCAGTCATTTATATGTATTCGACGAATAATCAAACACGCATTCAACTTTTTATGAACATTGATAGTTAGAGTAGTACCATAGCTATTGAGGATGTGAATGGAAGGTCGTTTTCTTAACGTATATACTATACGCTAAAAACTTACTCATTGTCGAGTAGTGTGAATATGTAGAGCATCAAATTTTGCTTCCATGACTGATCAAAGAGTGTCGCAAACATTGTCGGTTGCGATAATTTCATTTGATTTACGAATTTATTTTGCTGCCGTCACCTGCTGTCGTAGAGAGTTTCCTTAAATCAATAGAGTTTTGATCGTTTCAGCGAAATCGACATACATAAGTGGTGGTGATAATCGTCTACCGTCGTTGATACGTTTACTGGTGAATGCAATATTGGTGCATTCACTTGGTAAAGAAATGATTAATGTTACCAGTGAAAGCCAGTGTAACGACCTGAATAAAGCACAACAGGTGAATTTGAAGTCGAATTCGAATGCATGAGTAGATCTGTCGTTGTAGTTCATCGCATCGTCCATTTGTTTATTCGACGATTTTGGAGAAAAAAAGCGAATGAAATTAATTGCTTGAGTAAGATCACAAAATGTGTTTTAGAAGGAAAATGTAATCCTTTGGTCTCGCAGGATGGATTTCACCATATTTGTCAATGAAGTGTTCATTTGTTGATTGTTCAGATTTATCAGTATACGTGGCAAATGAATCCAGTTAGGAATTCAAGCGCTTGCTATCGAACTCCACTCTACTTGACTCCAGCTAAGTCACCCGCATTCGAAATTGACGGTTGGTTCAAATTCGTCGTTTTTGATTGAACAATCTGTTAGATTGTACCAGTGATGGGCACGCTAACAAAAAAAAGTTAGCGCGCTAACCTAACAGCTGCATGCGCTAATCGCTAATTTGGAACTTATTCTCAAAATTTGTAGCAGTACTATTCGTTTGTAAAGGAAAAACCTCACTGCGACATTAAACAGTTAAAAATCTTTATTGAATCATCCAACAACAGTCGATAATCATCAGTCAATAATAATCACCGGTCAATAAGTCAATAAGCACCAGAAAATCACCAGTCACTAATAATCATCAGTTTGTTAATTATATCAAAATTCCCGCACAATTCGATGTCGCAACAATGTACAGTGCAATCATCGACCACACATTCATCCTTTTAACATTTCTTCGATCTTTGCTTCTTCCTACTAATTCATGACATCTCATTTGTTTTCATCGATAATGACTAACTACCTAATCGCACTGCACACACTTCCATCATCTTCTACATTTGAAATAATAATGTCGTTCAAATTTCTTCTATCCATGACCGATGATAAAATTTGGTAAACAATTATCAACAACAACAATAATTTGATTGAATGCTCAATAGCGAACCGTTCGAGAGGGTACGAGTACACTAGGCTTGAATCTAGTGCAGTGTTATAGCGCATTTATGCATTCACTTACAGGCGTACGATTAGTGGAATTAATCCGCTAACGTTCGAGAAAAATTAGCTAAACCGCTAACCAACGACAATAAATTCGCTGATGCTAAAAAATTCCGCTAATTGAGCATATTAGCACATTAATCGCTAACGCTAATTAGCGATTAGCGGATTAGCGCGCTAATGCCCATCACTGAGTTCGATGTTTAGAATCGAGAATTCGTAATTTCATCAAACATTCAACCCACACTTAGCGTACTTATGAAGAGAAAACTGCACACTTCAGTCAGCGTTACGATGTATTTTTTGTGCTTATGTAATTTGCGGTTAATATATAATCCGCAATCAAAATTTACATCCATTAATAAGAAGTCATCAATATTTTTCAGGACATGATTTAAGTAAAAGTCCGTATTCGACATGGGTGGAGAGTGTATGGTCCTCTCATGATCTGGTCCTCTTCCTGGTTCCATCTGCTTATCCTCGATATGATATTGGATTGTTCATAGCTGGTTGCGCGTTTTTCGTTATTTGTTTCTTAATTATGGAAACATTTTGCTTCGACGCCAGACAGCCCACAGATCATGCAACATTAGAATCAGATCCACTTTGACCATGACTGTGAAGTTGTGGAAGGCTCGTCGTGGAAACAGTCAATGAATTTTCATGACGAAGATACAGACGATTGGTGTGTTTGCACGACTCAATGCCGTGCTGTTTCGTTTATAATTTTTTTGCATTTGTTTATTTGTTTTAACTCGTTTCCATTAATTCATCGACTGTTTTTTGCTTTGCTATCGCATTGCGCAGTTTGTGCTCTTCTGGTTTGTGTTTGTTTGACGGATATACATTTACTTCATTCCAGTGAAGCGCTAGAAGTTCGGTTGATTCTTGCAGTAAGAGTTGAACTGTTGAGTGTAAATAAGAGATAAAGTGTTATTAGTTTACTGCAGTATGAAAACTCGTATAATTATTCATTCATGAAGTAATTCTGATGTCCTAACTGGTTTTCTTATTATTATTATTGCTATCGTTTTTGTTGTTGTTTTTTTCCTTATGAAATTTGTTTGTGTTGCACGTTACTGAGTGTTGTATGGAAATGTGTTTGATCTCTCTCGAGATGAATTTATCGCGCAATTATTTGAAAGTTATTAAATTGATTTCTTTTCCCATTACAAATCTTTCTTTGCATTGAATACGTTCACTCCTTTGGTTTCTATAAGATAATTTCACCGGTCAAGAAATTATTGTCGGAGCAGTTTTGAATCCGAAAATAAATATTATAATGCTGATTTTTCAAAGCTTAGTTTGCTTCCAGCGTACGCTAAAGACTGCTTACGGCAGTGAGTTTGGAGCAGCCGCTGATAATTTGAGCAGTTCACATAAGAGATTACGAACTGGCTACAGGTTGTGCGGATCAACTTGATGTAGGTAGACTCACGATAGACACGACGACAAAACCGTTCGGAAATATTCTAGAACCTGCGATCAAAAGGAAATTACAAACACTCCAAGTGTTTGAAGCCGTCGATAATCGCTTGTTAGGCGATCAAGTTGAGTAGTGAATATTGCGATATATATATATATGAGAATTCCACCCATGTCGAGTTTTTGCATGGAATTCTTGCATGTTTCAGAAAATTTCCCATCCCATTTGCTGATCATTAGCCATATATTGGAAGATCTCGCATTATTCATCTGTAATGACTGAATCTTGTCGACCACCCATAATGATTGATACACTGGACGTATTGCACATATTGTTTAACTCTGTGCAATCTCAAACATGTTTTATGTGTCGACATCGACGTCAATTTGGCCCTTCTTTAGAGGGACAAGATGTGCAAAATTTTGTGACGACTCGATGAGCCATTAATCACTCTAATTGTTGCGCGCATCCCTCAAACTTTTCTTTCATTAGAAGACTATGTTATCATCACTAAGGTCATCACGTAAACGAATAACATTTAAACAAGTTAATATTACTCAACAACAAATCAGTAACTCGCTTGAAGATAGGCAAAGCAGTAAATTCAAATTAGTTCCGTTACAGAATGGATTGCGTTCCAAAGTCATTCTTTTGAGGTTAAACTGCAATTGAATGTGTCGCAGATATTATGGTTTATTTCTTTACTCTCAAGACATCCATAAAAGAGGGTTTGCTGATTTTCATTGCCAGTGTTTTGCGATATTTTTTTGGTTTGCTCAAAGCAGTTGTATTCTAGGCGATCAATCCACTCGTTTTATAAATGCTCGTATAAAAATGCACGCTCGAAAATTGCTTCGATGAGGGTCTTCATGTTCGATTAATGTTCACTAACGTTTATGTAATTCGATAGTTAATACAGTGACTGTTCATGGAAAATAGCATCACCCACCAATACAGCTATTTATGTATGAGATATACGAAACAAGTGTCAATCAACCACTATGTGTGTCACTGAAGGGTTGATTTCATGTAGGTATTTCGTCAACTGTAATATTTCTTTGATAGAGGGCAGTAAGCGCACACAATGTTCATCATCACATTGTCATATTACCGATCTCAGATGAATATGTTTGGGTTGGTTGAGTCGGTGATGATGATGAGAAAGAGATAGTTTCATAGAAGGGCATGATCGATGGTGGAAAAGTATTCTGAAGTACTTGAAAAACAATTAGGAAGGACGTAGGTAGGTGTAAACTGCAAAAGTTGGTTCGAAAAGGTAAAGAAAATTTGATACAAAAGAAAGATGATGAGAGTGATAATAGAGTTGATGATAATTGAAAGAAGAGTTCTATAAGAGATAACCCATCAGGAGGTTTTGATTAGTTGTTACGTTGATACTGGTAGTGTGCGTTGTTTTGTTTTTGTGTTGAGCACATTTGTGGTTGGTATTCATTACGACGTTTTTGCAGTACATCATTCAACACATTCTATTTGTATAATCTTTGTATATCATCCATCTATATCCGTCCAATACCATCTACTCACCATGCCTGCACCACCAGTTCTAAAACGGGATTGGCAAAAAGACCATGTTTATTTAGTACAGTTTCCTCGTTCTGGATGCATCCCGTCCTTATCACCGTTTGCACTCAAACTCGAGACATGGCTGCGAATGACAGCACTTCCTTACTCGGTAAGCATATGGTTGCTCTCCTCTTCTTTTATGACTTCATAATTTTCAGCTGCTTGAACACGCCTGTTTCCATTTGCAACTATCGCTTTCGAGCATCGTTTTCAAGTTCTTTCTTGCTAGTGTTACCTTCGTAGGAAGATATCTGCGTAAAACATTTCACAAGATGAACTTTTGTTTATATCAGATATAGCTGAAAATAACGTTTAGCTAAATGAATCAGTGCTTTCGACTATTATATGTGCTATGTAGGTGTTGTCTTCAATCATTCTTTGATATTCATTTGCAACACTTTCGTCTTGTTTCACAAACTGTTTCATGACTTTACAATAAATCGACAAGATTTCGGCGTTTATTTGCATATATTATCGAAACACAAAGTATTCATATGATACAAACACAAAAGGGAGGAGATCCTCCATGTAAGATATACGAAATTTATATTTCATCATCCGAATCGATAGTGCTTGATATCCGTGTACATCTTATACATATACTCCTAAAGTACAGATTTAAAGGTTGATTTCATATATTACATTGGTGTCTCTCACGAATATTTGAAACTCACAATAAATTTTGTTCGATTTGTCTTTAAAGGAAAAAGCTAGTCATTGTTGTATTGAATAAATAAGTTCGAATTTACTGCTGATGTCTTTTGTGTGTTCATAACTAATTAGCCTTCATCCCTGAATATAGGCGCGTTAGCATCGCCATTCAGATTGTTGATTTGCAATTACTTCTTTACTTTGATGTGACAGCATTACCATGATGTTTACTAAATAAGATTCTTTGTTCATTTTTTTCAATATGACATCACTTCCACCCCATAGCTATTTGAGATCTACAAATAAACACTATTCAAACAAATCTCATCAATCCCAACTTCAATCAGCAATCGTAGATTGCTACATTTTTAGGTGAAGTAAACTGCAAGTTTAGGTCTAATAACAAAAAGTAATATATCATATAAAGTTAGCATAGAATATTTCTGTTCTTCGCATTTTTCAGTTTTGCTTCATGATTTTGAATCATCGAATTTCGGATGTTGATTCGAAAAAAAAATGCCATTTCTAATGGATTGTATGATATTATTGTATTCCTTCGGCCCTGCAAATTTCTTTTCAATTGATACGATCAGAAACACATCCAGCTATATTAACGTCTCATAACGTTTCATTACTGGTTCATCAAAGATAAGCACTAGAGTTATATGAATGCTGAAAACTCTATAATTTCATAATCTAAAATTGAGCATATTCCAACCAGTTATTTATACATGACGGATTGCTCGTTTCATGGTTTCAATACTGCGTGGCTTTCCAATCGCACGCGAAGTTTCAGTTGAAATCAATTGTTGTGCTAACATCAGTAATGTTATCATTGGCTTGTATTTCGCAAGCGTAAATTATGCTCTAAATTTTTATTTACTCACCGTTATATATATATTATTATGAGTATTTTATCGATAGAGTGTTATTAGTGTCAGTTTGCTAGTAAAAAGTATAAAGGAAATATTTTAGAAAAAAATTTCTCAAAGAATATTCAAACGTATTGAATAAGTTCCCTTCTTTCGTCGTCACCATATTATCTCACTTTGTTCCATATGAGCTGAGTTGTTTTGAATAGATTTTTAAATCATTGAATGCATCGAATTTTGCAGTTCAGTTTAAGGACGATCATCAGAGAAATTTTGAAAATTCATCAATTTTGCAATAGCAGTTTTCTTCTGCCAGTTCCGTTTACTTTTTTCTAAGTTATTGAATTTGTTCATTCTCATAAATAAATTTTATATTTATGTTGCATACACTCAGACAAGAAAGGGGAAACGACTTTGGTAATTGCTGATTCATTGTGATTATTTCTTTTTGCGCAGAATCCTTGAAAGACACTCGAATACAGTTTGATGATTGCCTTCTTTATCTGTTTATGTGTTTTTTTGGAAATCAAACATTGAAGTAATTTGTGATCGATTTAATGATATATTTCAGAACATTAGCAATGAATTCAAGAAATTTTCAACGAAGAAACAAATTCCATTCATTGAGATCAACGGACGACAAATTCCTGATAGCAATTTTTGTGTCGATTACCTCACCGAAACGTTCAATGTTCGTTACTATTTTCTTCAGTTTATTAATAAACTTCTATCAAAAATTTAAAATATCCCGGAAACGCGGCAAAAATTCTAAAATATTCATTTCTGAACATATGCTTAATATTTTGGATCGTTTGTACGGTGAAACTTCAGGTGCATTCCACTTCACTTTCTTTAAAAACAAACGACTGCTATGAGATAAGACTGCAGTTATATTTCACAACCAACCATATTAACACCACTGTTGCCTTTTCATATCAGTTTTAGCGTATTCCTAGAAACTCGTTCGATTGCTTGATCATCCGCTGATGTCTTACTGAGGAAATCCTCATTTGATTCGTTTTGAAATGCTCTCGAAATTGCGACGGATTCAGTCGCTGAGTTCAACTAAAAAAAACGATTTTAAACGATAACTGTGAGCTATTTTAAGTGTGAGCTAACGATAAGCTAAAAAACACACTTCTTCAGTAGCAGCTTATTCAGTGATATTCCTATTGAGTGCTCACTGAAATAGAATTAATATCAAGTAGCTACCTCAGTGAGCAATCATTAACAGTACTCGCAGGTGACGTTTAACTGTTAAAAACAGATAAAATGACGTACGAATAATGATAAAAAAATTTATTATCATTGTAATAGCAAATTTATAATTAACTAATTCCAAATTAACGTATTTTAGATTCAAATTGACAACCATTTAACAGCATCAGAGAAAGCAGAAGCAAGAGCGTTTCATGTTCTACTTGAGGAATCAATTCGTTGGTGAGTTTCTGTGCAAGCGCTGAACTCTTTTGAGAGCAGTTTCTTTTTGCTGGCTGCCTGTCAAAACAATGCTTTTATTTGCGATGTCGTTGCCATAACATTCCCTCATTTTCGAAACATTTTCAGGGTGTTAGTCTACAATCGATCAAAAAACATCAAATTTTTTGCCACATCAGCTGGATTCGGAGGTCATGTGTCCGGTGTAAAAAAGTTTGTCTTCAAGAATGTCCTACTTGACCGCTTCAGAAAGAAGGTCATTTCACTATTCCAATCAGTTTGTTTGTTTTCAATAACTTTTTGAAGTAATCACCGAGTGCATTCCAATCAAAACAAAAGCTACTTTGTTATGGATTTTTACTCGTTTACCTTACAACAACTCACATTCATATTGTTATATACAGTTGCAATTCGATACTTATCAATGGCCAAATACATATTTCTGCAAATGCGCACTCATATTAGGGAACGTCCTGATCGGACGAGAGTAATTTATCACCATTGTTTTATTTCAATATTATTGGCATTCACTAATTGAGAAGGAAAAAAAAGAGAAAAATGTCACTAAATTGAATATCGACTTATCAGTTGGCCTAAAAATTACGTTTTTGATGAAAGGTAAAAATGCTAGTAATGTCACAGATGGTCAATTTGTAGTTTAGCTCGGCTTAGGGAATACACATAATCCAAGGAAACAGCTCAAAAAATTACTAGTGCCATTGTGATCGAACTAAAATATGAGTGATGTACTGAATGAACTGCCTGTTGAAGATATCGAAAATGTGTTACTTACAAGGAATTGGACGTCATTCGTTAGAAGAAGTTGATAAAATTGCTATGAAAGATTTGCTGGCACTTTCTACCTTCCTTGGTGATAAACCGTTCTTCTTCGGATCAAAGCCAACAACCGTAATTTTTTGTTATTTCGACGAAAAACTTTAAACTTCTCATGCATTGGATCATTTTATTCACTCGCTTTAAAACTGCATAAAGCATGGAAAATTGTATAATAAATGAGATTCACGCATAGTACAGATTTGATATCCAGTAAATTATAATACTCTTGCAGTAAGTTATTCGACACTTGTTTACTTTGGGGGTAGGAGGGGGGGGGGGGGTTCGCACGCG